CCCCCCCCCCCGCCCTCGGTGAGCCCACAATCTGGAAAAGTGGAGTGTGTGTCCCGCAAGGTCCAGGGAAATGCTTGTACTGTAGTGCCGGCTTGGCAGTAGTGAGGACTTTTCGAGTTCATGGTACAGCAGTGCTTGCGTTTTGAGGGGCTGGCAAGAGGACCAAATGAATGGTATACGGATCAATTGTGAGTGAGCGACGTGGGCGGGCTTCTTTACGTTTCGTGAGGCTTGATAGATAAAGGCTTACCCATTAGACTACTCAGTCAGCTGACTGACTAAGTAGTCTAATGGGTAAGCCTTTACTACCAAAAGATACACTCTCGATTGGCCCTGGCAGAGAGGGGCGGCATTGACGACGCCCGCCCCCCCCCTTGTTTATCTTTTGGTAGATAACGGCTTACCCAATAGACTACCTAGTCAGCGCTGACTGAGTAGTCTAATGGGTAAGCCTTTACTATCAAGGCTGCTAGCCTATCGAAAACACGGCTTCGATCACATCAAGATCAACTTGACAAGATTAGCTTGACAAGATACATCTATTTGTTGCACCATTCTGTTCAGTGGTGCCATTAAACCACAAGACCATGCCGCCCGATCAAGGGGCACCTCGCTATCAAATGATGAATTGTTGCGGCAAGAAGGCCGTAGCACTATTCAGGCAATCTCAAAGGCACCCCTCGACAACGAAATTAAAATGCTCAGCATCCACGCACCCGATGTTCATTTGGAGTGTCATTTGGAGGTACAACATGGATGTAGTGCTCCTTACACGAGCACAACAAAAGCAGATGCAACTCAAAGGGGTAAAGAAGAATACAAACTCCTCTGTTCCTTCGATAAAAAGCTAGAGAGAACACCAAGCCTTCAGAAGCAAAAAAAACGCCAACCAAAAAGACGTCAGTCTCAGTGCGGCTGAAAACAGAAAAACATAGTCTACTGTAGATCTCAAGGCCCTGACTTGGGACCCCGTGAGAGGGTGTCATGGCGGAGGCAAAACTATTCTGATTAAAGCGGTAGCAACAGAGGACAAGTGTCTACCAAGGCTACTTAACACTTTGCACCACGGAAGGCGTCCGCGTCAGTTGGAGCAGTACGGACATCAGAAGGTGCTGAGCGGAGACCGGAATGGTTTTTAATGTGACGATAGCAACATCGTTTCGGAGTGCTTTCATCCTCCTTGAACTTACCACCACTACACTACGCTCGTTACTTACATTTCAACTATTTTTCGGGCATTCATTTCCAGACTTTGCCCTCTTGCGGCGTTTGTTGTGACGAGGGTCATCTGGCTCGAAACTGTTGTTGCCCTCAACGCCATATTTTCCATCTCCATCATCACTGCTATCCTTGATATTCTTTCCACATCCTTCGTCACTACCACCATGTTCGTTTTCGCCCGCCGCAGTACTGACCTCCCAACCTATCGGCTGAATTTGCTGTGGTTGAATTTGGTCGATCGGTACACCGTGGCATTTGAAGACGTTATGCGCACCGACAGAAACCGATCTATACTAGCTCGCTGTTAAACCATCTCCGAATCCTGTTGGTGTGGAAGACTTGGTTGAGGCGAAAAAAAGCTGTGTGTGGGGGTGCGAACCGGCAGGGGTTCGATAGTGCCTGAATCGGCACAATAGCGGGCAACCCTCAATAGTACCGGTTTGTATGTAAATCTGTCTGCGTCAAGAAAATTTGCCGGCACTGTATACCGGACTCTGGCACCAGCTGTCTGGCATTATTCAACCGGCACTATACCGGGACACCTACTACTGTTGTATGCATACCCCAATGTATACCCTCCTTGCCTATGTAGTACTAGACTACATGTACATATGGACTTTACACATCTTGACATTGCCTACTTCTGTACCAACAACGAGACAGCAACATAAGAGTGCAATAATTCAAACAGCCGAGCTCCGGCAAGTACTGCCCGAGTCGGGCACCTTGCCTTGGGCGCCCGCAGCGCAGGCTGTTGCTGGTAACGGCGTTCAAACGCGTTTTGAATTCTCGTCCGACTGCCAGAACGACATTGCAGGTCTTCACCTAGGTGGTAATTCGTGACGATGACATTGACAGCACGTGACATCGCAACACACGCTCACCAATCCACACATGGTAACCAGCCTCGTCTGAAAAGGACCCAAACCTACGCGATCAATCGCTTCAGAGAAGCTCCTAGGCGGGTTATGGACGGCGTCCGGACCATCATCTGCACTTGGCGCAGACGGAAGCATGAAAGGCGTGTGTTCAAGCTGCTGCTCCGGTCGACAAGTTGTTGCGGTGGCGGGCTCCTCAGTCTTGCTCTGAGGAAATGGCTGCCTCCTTCTACTTTCCATGTTTCTCTCCCCCTCTCCCTGTGTGTGTTGTTCTGCCTCTCCCTTCCCCTCGCCTTGGCGGTGGATGGAATTAAGGAGAAATAAATACACGCGCAGAAAGACTACCCATTCGAGATATACCCACAGTCGAACGGGATGTGGTGGAGTCTTTTCAGTAAGTGGAGGAAAACCGGCTGGGTACTGGATTTATTTCGAGACTTTATAAGTCTATATTCTTTAGATCCTCAGATGGCTCTAGCACTTTCGTGACCACGGGCTGAGAGTCTTTTGCTAGATTTTGGCATTTAGCAACTGACATACGGTTTAATGTGAAGACAAACAACAACACTGATGATTTATTAGTAATGCCAGCTGGTGCTTGCTAAGTACAAAAACATCTGTATAGGTAAATCTACATTTTACAATACATCCCCTGTAGTTCTCTACTGGGTCANAAGTGGAGGAAAACCGGCTGGGTACTGGACTTATTTCGAGTCTTTATAAGTCTATACACTGATGATTTATCAGTGATGCCAGCTGGTGCTAAAAACAAACATCTGTATAGGTAAATCTACATTTTACAATACATCCCCTGTAGTTCTCTACTGGGTCAACGACAAAATATGGGGGAGAATCCCTCCGTAGTGTCGTGTACTGTAGTAAGATGTAACCTTCACAGGGGACACGGCGCAGTGTCTATTGACAGCTTGCTGGTTTTAGGAATTTAAGGAGAAAAAAATATATTGATGAAAAAATCATGGAAGATGGAAAGAAGGCTACAGCAGTACATCACTCGTTTTTCAAACCTATAGATTTCTGAATTTCACGGGCAGCAGGTGTTTCCCGCCGTTTTTTTGGATTTACAAAAAACTTATTTGACCCTTTGGGGTAGCGTATCAGGGTTGTTGTTGTTGTTGTCTTCACATTAAAAACCATCCCGGTCTCTCTATCCAGTAACTCCTTCTGTCTCAATCTCTCCGTACTAATCCAGCACTTGACTCGGTCAATTTCCGTGGTATACCAAAAGAAAATGGACCCCAAGGAAGGGTGAGCAGAGCGATAAAATACAAGAAAACAAAAGAATCAGAAACAAATAAATAGAAAATAGTGNTCTCTATCCAGTACCTCCTTCTGTCTCAATCTCTCCGTACTAATCCAGCACTTGACTCGGTCAATTTCCGTGGTATACCAAAAGAAAATGGACCCCAAGGAAGGGTGAGCAGAGCGATAAAATACAAGAAAACAAAAGAATCAGAAACAAATAAATAGAAAATAGTGGAACGCGCGCACCACCAGCCTGGGGGGTAGCCTTCCGGAAGGACCCCAAGGGTCAACAGTACGTGCCAGTAAAAAAACAAAACAAAAACGAAATAAACCAAAGGCAGACGAGGACATAAACAATCTCGCACAGAGACAGGGATATCCGTAGAGACAGTCTGAACGCGACAGCAAACGGGGGAGCGGGCAACAGAAAAACTAGTCGCTGAAATTCAACCGCAACATGTCACGTCACGCGGTCGGTCTCTTGCTTGCTTTCTTCCCGCGCCGTTTCCTCCCGCCCCCCTCCCGCCCCGTTGATTGGTGCCGTAGGGTGGGTCTTGCCGAAAAAAGTGCACAATCAAAAATCGCCAATGAATCGGATTTGTATTTTCTATTTCGTAGTTTGGGTCTACCCAAATACGCCGCCGCTGAGAAAAAACCAAAGGAATCGGCGATTCCGGCGAAACATATCGAACAGACCGCGGGTACACATATTGCGGTCGTTCACGGACGGAAGCTGGTGCTGCCGCCCGCTGCACAAGGTACCAGGCACACGACGAGACGCAGGGCCACTACTCCCGATGACGGTGGTTCGGCCTCGCACTGGAGTGGGTGCACGCTGTACCGTCGTCGCTCCGCAACACACGGGTGCGAATCGTTACAGCAGCTGCTCTCTGGTGCCTCGCCGCGACGACAGCGTTGGCTTGTGCCTTCCAAGTCGTCCACACCCGGCGTGGAGCATGCGTGAGAAGGAGCCGGCCATGGCCCCGAAGGGCGTGGCCACAACGGCACCATAGCTGGGGAGTGGGCGCTAGCTAGCACGTTGCGGTGGCTCGCAAGGCACGGCGTCAGCGCTGCGGCTGATGGTCCCCACATGGCCACGATCACAGCATTTGCGAAGATCAAGGAAGGGCTGGACGCCATCAATGACTGCTGTGGGAGGCTTCGGATAAAGTGTCCGAGAACGGAGCGGGAGCTTCAAGCGAAGGCGCAGGGGTTTGCTGCTCGGAGTTCCCAACTTGACCCTGTCCTGAAGCGCTGTGGGGGAGCATTGGATGGACTCTTGTACGACGCAAGAAGCCTAGCATCACCGAACACCCTTGTCCAGATCGGTTCTTTCTCGCCATGACCCAGGCACACACCTCGACGACAATCAATCGCGCAATAGAAAACCAACTGATGTGGCTTTCCCTCCACTACTGTGCCGTACAGTAGTGGCATTCTCCCAAAGACAAACCACACGAAGTAGTTGAAAGAGAGGGGGACCCAACAGCCATTCCGACATTACGCCGAAAGCTCCGTGCGAACATTTGGGGTTGTCGCCTCCACGCCCTGATCCTTGCCTCCTCCTGCTCTACCTCCAGCACCCACGCACCAACGCCCGCGTCTGTCTGTCTTCATCAGAACTGTGAAATCAGGCCACACTTGGCCACCACGCACCACGTGCGGACCGCGCGGCACGGGGGGGGTTCGCATAAAAGACAGCGACCCATACCCACACACCAACAAATTACACCCACAAGGGGTAATAGGGATTGTCACTGGACGTCAACGGCCGTTTCTTATTTTTCACGCTCTCTCTACTGCACTTCGTTTCTTGTGGTTTGGAGTGATCCTGCCCTCAGTTTCTTATTCGGGTGTATCTTACTTCTTTCCCAAGATCGAGCTGTGTTTCTTAGCCGGAATTTCTCATTTTTCGCCAAAATCTGAGCTTGATTTTCCAGCCTAAATTTTTTCTTACTTGCGGGCGCGTTCTGTACGTTGGACATCGACGAACATGTAAAAAAAA